CTGTATAATTAGGTTTAACTTGACATGTTTTAGAAATAAATTGAAGAGGATGGATAACGTGGGGTTATTATTAAAATGATCACTGGCTGCATAGCATGGGTTAGTGCGCCTCATTTGTAAGCTTTGCTGTGAAGTGAGTGATTTTTTTTTTGCAGTGTTTTCCTGTAGGCTTCTCGACATTTTCCTAAAAGTGAGTGAGTTATTAACTGCTCATTAAAGGAATCCACGTCGTATCTGCAGGGGGAAAAAAAACTGTGTCCTGGGGCTGCATGTTGATTGTCTCCCAGTGAGCTGACCTGCTACTGGCACAGTGGGCTGCACTCCAGAGGTCTTTCAGCAGAGCCGGTGCCAGATGGCCATCCAGTCAAAAAGGCCGGACGACTGCAGGGGCGCAGCCAGGGCAGCAACTGATACTGCTGCGTATTTGATCGCATTTTATTGAAAGATAGATTTGGTCGTTAGAAGGCCATTAGACAAATGCAGGTGTGCAGATCAAGGTCCGTGCCGCACTGTCCCGATCAGAGGTGCGTCTCGGATCATGTTCATGAGGACGCCGGGAACGTGATCCGGCAGAACTCTTGGTTTATTTTTCGTCGTGTTTCAGCTGTAAACTGGCACTACCGAAGCAGCAGCAGCAGAGCTCACCTACGGGACGGTTTCTTCTTTCAAGGCCCACGTGTGGGGGGAGGTGTGTGGTGTGTCGCTGGCTGTGCAGGGTGCGGAGAGCTCTGGATTTGCTTGAACAGAAGGCTGCTGCATGACAAGCTACTGCTGGGACTGAAGGTTTTTCCACATTGAACATTCCTGCTCGTCCTTGTGGTGACAAGGCGCTTAGTGTGTAAGCAGTTACAATACAAAAAGCTCATCCTATATTTATAAATCTTTTACAAACGGTTGCCTGGAGTCTTGGAATGTTTTTTAACTTGAAAGCAATCTTTTTTTAAATACAAAACCTCATCACCTCTTCTATGTGAAACCAGCACAGTGGTCCCTCCACTGACACAATGACTGCATTTCACTGCTTTTCCTGTGAACGCAATGGAATCTGCACACCCCCACCCCCCAGTCTCACGCAAACATTTTCACTCAATTTCATTCAGAAACTTTTGTCGCAGCGCGTTGAGTCCCTGAGCACGTCAGCCCCAGATCTTCACTACTGTGAGGGACGCAGCTCAGCACCGCTGTCCAGCACGTTTCGTAGATCTCATCAGATCCCCGGCTTCTGAGAGACAAGCAAAGCTTCTGCCTTTTCCATTCAGCAAGGAATGGGTTATGTCAGGTAATCAAGTAGAAGGAAAACCAGAATCCTCCTGTTTCTTGTGCGCCTCTGATGTAGCTTCACCTGGGATCTGGAGAGCCCCAGTCCATCTTGTCTCTTAGGTCACCTGCTCCTAAGGTTGGGAAATGCCTGTACGTTATTGATCAATAAAGCAGCTAATCTATTTCAATGAAAAGCTCTCTAGTTCTCAAGGGATGAAGGACGCTCGGTACTTGATCTTAAATAGTCC